AGTTATAATGAAGAAGTTACGGCATCTCGAAGTTTCGCGACAGAACCGGCAAGACGCTGAATGACGTAAAATACGAATTTAAGATAGATCGATATCTAACCTTAGTGATCTAAATGAAAGTCGTAGAATACGTTAAACCATGAGCGTGCATAAAAAGAACGCCCAAATTTGACTTCGTATGAGGAAGTTATGATTTTTCGAAGTTTCAGCTTAACAGTAGACAACCTGAAGTTCGAATTTGAGATCGAGCGAGTTTTCGCCGAAACAATCTAAATGAGAATTGAATATCTCATCAATAGTAGTGCAACGACGGAAAGACAGACGAAAACGGACGTCAGACGAAGGAGTTATGATTTTCTAACGGAGTTTTCCTGTTCCGGCCCACTAAAAATAATATAATAAATATATAATAAAAATAAAGTCAAAATTAGCCGACGGATTCTAAATGAAAGTTGTAGATCTTGTTTTTACCTACGCGTGGAAAAAAGAACGTCAAAAACGGAGCTCATATGCGAAAGTTATGAATTCTGAAGTTCGGAGCACGAAACCCGGTACTGTGTCAGGGTTCACAACTTCACATGAACTTTTCTCTCTCTCTCTCTCTCTCTCTCTCTATATATATATATATATATATATATATATATATATATATATTAGTAGCATACCCGCACGATGTAGCAGTCGTCGAATGTTGGGGTAAAAGATAGTTTTGTTTGGCAATTAATTTTTTTCGTCGATTAGTTTCTTTTTGGTGGAAGATAGTTCCTTTCAGCCTTGTGGCAGTCAGTTTTACGGATATAATTCATTTTGACGGGCTACTTTATTGTCTCATGTTTAGTTAGCAAAAAAATGTATAATTAATTTTTCGGCAGCAAATGTCAAATGTGGTGGTTAATAGTTATTTTTCAGCAAATACTTTCTTTTTCATAGATTTTTTCATCAACAAATGTTGCTACAATTAAACAAAAATAAATAATTTTCCTAAAACATAATACAATAGGAAATTTGTTCACATTTAGTCATTGAACTTTTTAGATGGAAACGAACTTTCGATTTTGTTCACATTTAGTCACTAAACTTTTTTTCGTTATCAATTTGCCACTAAACTATTGAAACTGTTCACATTTTACCCTTATGACCGGTAATAGCTGGTCATAAGGGTAAAATGTGAACAGTTTCAATAGTTCAATGACAAATAGATAACGAAAAAAAGTTTAGTGACTAAATGTGACAAAAGTTGAAAGTTCGTTACCCTTTCAAGTCATTATCCCTTTAAAGTTTTGGTTAGAGGTTAAAGATTTATGATTTAAGGTTTATTGTTGGTTTTTAATATTAATAAATTACACAACAAATATGAATCATATATTTTGTGCATAACTACCATGATTTCAAACGTACTGATATTTGATATTTGAAAGGTTATGTGATTATTTTAATTAAATAACTAATCTTTTTAACAAATGATTTATTTAAAAATTAAATATTAAATGGTAAACTTATGGATAGAATCATGTAAGTTTTAACCATTAAAATCAAAATAAATTTAAATTACATAAATACAACTAATAAGTTATGAAGATACTGTTAAACTACTATTACATAAATGGTTAGAATGACTTATATAAAGTCTATTTTAGATAATATCTATCGATGATAGTTAATTGAGATAATATATATATATATATATATATATATATATATATATATATATATATATATATATATATATATATATATATATATATATATTCACTTATAGGTTCAACGAGTAATAGAAACCATTACAACTATTGTTTCACATTATTGAGTCCAAAGTTTCTCATATTTTGGAAATTTTGAATAACAGAGATAAAAGGTCATGCACAATAATCTATACTTGCTAACACCATTTCATTCTATCCCCAAGTTTTTGAAGGTACTTTTAAGCTCTCATTACTTGCACACACACAATCAAAATGAGATGAAAATATGATGTTAAATTTAAGTTATGATAACTGAGATGAAATCTCAAACATTTACAAAAAAAAAAATATATATATACAGAACAAACAAATACATATACAAATAAATATCTATACAAAAACAAAAAAAATTGCTTCATACTGATATAAAAATCTCTCAAATTTATTGATTAAGTGTCTCAGACATTATTTTGCCTTCCATGTCCTCATTTAGAGTCTGTTTCTCAGCCAAAACTTATGCAACTTCTTAATGGATGTATTTTCATTCTTAACCCTTCAAATACACACAATTACACTCTTAAATACATTAAAAATTACACAGACATACACAAAAGAACAGAAATGAGGATATCAACCACAACATTTAACATAAACAATATATATATATATATATATATATATATATATATATATATATATATATATATATATATATATATATATATATCGTAGATGATGTGTAAACAATTAGCCATTGCTGATTTAAAGAAAACTAATGTAAGTTATTAAAGAGAAAATCAACAAATTATTCTCAAAATCGATAATCAGGGGCTAGAATTAGAAATTATACAAAAATTGACATTCACAAAACCAGACATATGGTACAAAAAGCTAACAGGGGGTTGAAATACAATATCGATAACCAATCCTAAAATACAAAATAGAGTGCAGACATTAAGAAGATAAAATAAAAGAGAACCCTGATTTTAAACGATGCGAAGAATATGGAGAGAAAGATGGATCATGGTGTAGAGGTGCGATGTAGCAGACGTTGTGGCACGACGTTATGTGGTGGTGGTTCTCTTCTATAGGAGAGGTGGAGATGGTTTTCAGGTGTTGAGTGAGAGAGATGAGATTAACGTGTGATGAGAGTGGAGATTTCAAAGAGTTGCATATCTTGGAGATCGATTAGGAAAAAAGATTAGGGTTTCTATTTTAAAGGGGTGGAGAAAACGAAGGGACATCTCAAGGGATTTGATTTCTAAGACTGAGTTGGTATTCGATTTGTGTTTGTACACTAAATCGTTTTTTTAGTTTGAAGCATTAAAAATTGTACTTTAGGATTTAATGATAGTACATGTGTTCTGATTGGTTGAATCTCATTCACTTGGATCACTATTCATTAAATCTATACCATTCAAACTTATTTCAAGGGATGAGATTTCACAATTCCTTGTTTTAAGACTTTGTCTTAAAAATTGATGAGCCCAACATTATCTATGCATTATAATGTAATATATATATATATATATATATATATATATATATATATATATATATATATATATATATATATTTCCTCACTTACAAGTTCAACGAGTAATAGAAACCATTACAACTATTGTTTCACATTATTGAGTCCAAAGTTTCTCATATTTTAGAAATTTTGAATAGCAGAGGTTGAGTACGTCTATTTTCTCTAAAATAAAAGGTAATGCACAATGATCTATACTTGCTAACACCATTACATTCCATCGCCAAGTTTTTGAAGGTACTTTTAGGCTCTCATTACTTGCACACACAATCAAAACGAGATGAAAGTATGATGTTAGATTTAAAAATAAGTAAACATGAAACTTAAGTCATTAAGTTATGATAACTGAGATGAATCTCAAACAATTACAAAAAAAAAAAAAATACAGAACAAACAAATACATATACAAATAAATATGTATACAAAAACAAAAAAAATTGCTTCATACTGAGATAAAAAATCTCTCAAATTTATTGATTAAGTGTCTCATACATTATTTTGCCTTCCATGGCCTCATTTAGAACCTATTTCTCAGCCAAAACTTATGCAACTTCTTAATGGATGTATTTTCATGCTTAACCCTTCAAATACACACAATTACACTCTCAAATACATTAAAAATTACACAGACATACACAAAAGAACAGAAAGGAGGATATCAACCACAACTTTTAACATAAACAATATATATATATATATATATATATATATATATATATATATATATATATATATATAAATCGTAGATGATGTGTAAACAATTAGCCATTGCTGATTTAAAGAAAACTAATGTAAGTATTAAAGAGAAATCAACAAATTATTCTCAAAATCGATAAGAATTAGAAATTATACAAAAATTGACATTCACAAAACCAGACATCTAGTACAAAAAGCTAACAGGGGGTTGAAATACAATATCGATAACTAATCCTGAAATACAAAATAGAGTGCAAACATTAAGAAGATAAAATAAAAGAGAACCCTAATTTTAAACGATGTGAAGAATATGGAGAGAAAGATGGATCATGGTGTAGAGGTGCGATGTAGCAGACGTTGTGGCACGGCGTTATGTGGTGGTGGTTCTCTTCTATAGTAAAGGTGGAGATGGTTTTCAGGTGCTGAGTGAGAGAGATAAGATTAACGTGTGATGAGAGTGGAAATCTCGGAGAGTTGCATATCTTGGAGATCGGTTAGGAAAAAAGATTAGGGTTTCCGTTTTAAAGGGGTGGAGAAAACGAAGGGACATCTCAAGGGATCTGATTTCTAAGACTGAGTTGGTATTCGATTTGTGTTTGTACACTAAATCGTTTTTTTAGTTTGAAGCATTAAAAATTGTACTTTAGGATTTAATGATAGTACATGTGTTCTGATTGGTTGAATCTCATTCACTTGGATCACTATTCATTAAATCTATACCATTCAAACTTATTTCAAGGGATGAGATTTCACAATTCCTTGTTTTAAGACTTTGTCTTAAAAATTGATGAGCCCAACATTATCTATGCATTATAATGTAATGTATATATATATATATATATATATATATATATATATATATATATATATATATATATATATATATATATATATACACGGGTTGACGAGTTGACTCGCGAATCCAAACTGATAATCCAATACAACCCATGAAATAAATGGGTTGGCGGATCAAAAATCTCAATCCAAACCCGTCTATTTTCGGAATGGATCTGTGTTCGGTTACAAGTTTGATCGAAAGATGTCACCCCTTATTTGCGTCATTTTCCTCAATATCGCACAATTTCGTCTGCTATTATTTTTTCTAAATAAAACTTTGGGAGAAAAGAATAATACTAACAAAATGACGAAGCCAATTGAATTCCCCTCAATCTATGCTTGTGGCTTCCAAACCCTAATTTTCTCGCACGTCGCTTAACCAAAAACCCCTGTTGTTCACGAAACGGAAAACTAACAAAAAGATCAAGATCCGAAATGAATTAAAACTGTTCAATTTTGTATTATAACTGCGTCCTTGAACACGCAAGAAGCTGTCTTTTCGGAATTGAAGAAGACAGAAGGGAGTGAAAATCCCCAATTTCATGACCCGACTTCGTCAAATCAATCGATCAACAATCGTTTTCTGCTCTGGTGATTTTCTGTTCATATACACGAATTGATTAGAATTTGAGCTTGGAATCTATGTAATTGCATAAGTATCGATGATAACCGAGAAAATTAGGGTTTCGTTATATTTTCTTAGCTAGCAGAGTTTCGTTGTACTTGTAGTAATCGTGTAGGAGGTCTTTTGATGTATTTCGTTGTTGGTTATCTTAGTCATATCTGATACTTAATTACACTTTGGTGACCTAAGTTTCAGACGCCTAATCCATGTGTTCGATATGCTCGGTGAACATACAATTAGTTGATCATTCTCCTGACGCGTTCTATGAAAATAACGCTTAAATTGCATTACGGAATTGATGAATATGCTGTGCAGGTAGAAATTGTTAGTATTGGTTGGCTTGATGGGTGCTCCTAAGCAGAAATGGACATCTGAAGAAGAAGCAGCTCTGAAAGCTGGAGTTCTTAAGCATGGAGCAGGAAAATGGCGCACAATTCTTAAAGATCCAGAGTTTAGCAGTGTGCTTTACCTGCGCTCTAATGTGGATCTTAAGGTTTGCATTTTTTCATATGTCATTTTCTGCTAGAGGGTATTACATATCTGAAAATTTCTTTTAATTGTTGGTTTATTGACTTGGATCAGGACAAATGGAGGAACATGAGTGTAATGGCAAATGGATGGGGATCTAGGGAGAAGGCTAGGTTAGCCCTGAAAAGAGTGCAACATGTCCCTAAGGATGACAACCCTCTCTCACTCACAACTGCTGATCCCAGTGATGAAGATTCAGGTGATGTGAGACCTCTTCAGTCTTCTAGTGGTTCTCCACAAGTTGGTGCTTCAAAAAGATCTATGATAAGGTTAGGCCCTATTTCTTCATTCTACTTAACACTGACTGCTGTATGGATTAATGATGTTTGTCTGGATAAATGATGATGAATTGCTGTATGGATAAAGTGATGTATGAACAAAGAGTCAAAGACTATTTCTTTGTTACATTGAATAGACCTTCTGAATGACACTTAATGATGATTGTTCCCTTTGTCTGGAATTAATGTTGACATCAACTGACAAATAGCTACAAATATCCCATACATTGAGGTATATGTGTTACCAGAATGGTGGATTGTTTATATAATGCGCTATTCATTATACATTTGAGGATCACTTCTTATGAATCATTGTTATTTAGTCTCTAGAAGGTGATGGTATCAATAGTTATATACTTACATAGTATATGGCCATTTTACCTTTTGTACCATTTACAGGCTGGACAATCTTATAATGGAGGCAATAAACAACTTGAAGGAGCATGGTGGCTCTAATAAGACTACCATTGGCACATACATAGAGGTATCTGTGTTATATTATGTTTTTTTAGCTTTTAACTATTACTTTTTTTTTTAACTAGCATATTTAATAATAACAGTAATAACAACTTTTGAACCTTAAATGCCTCTAGTTCCACTTTTTAAATGACATCTGCCTTTTGTTTTACAGGAGCAATATTGGGCACCTCCAAATTTTAAGAGACTTCTATCAATGAAGTTAAAGTTTCTGACTGCAACTGGAAAACTAGTCAAGGTATAATCTGTGTTATCAAATGCCATGTGTCATCTAATTTTTATATAGGTATTCATGAAATATGTTCTCAAATCATTACTCATGTTAATGTGATTTTTTTTTTTTTGTTAAAAGAAATTATTTATTTTGTGTTGCAGACAAAACGCAAATATAAAATTGCATCAGCAAATGCATCATCATCTGACAAGAAAAGGGTTTCTACCATGTTACGATTAGAGGGAAGACACAAGGGTTCTTCTCCAAAAGTTGATAAGGATGAAATCAATGTTCCTACAAAAGCTCAGATTGATTTAGAACTTCAAAAGATGAGGAGTATGACACCGCAGGAGGCGGCTGCCGCCGCTGCTCAGGCGGTTGCAGAGGCGGAAGCTGCCATAGCGGAAGCAGAAGAGGCGGCAAGGGAGGCAGAGGCAGCTGAGGCTGATGCAGAAGCTGCTCAAGCTTTTGCAGAGGCTGCTATGAAGACACTTAAAGGGAGAACCACGCAAAGGATGGTAAATGTTAATCCTTTCTTTTTGACAGGATAAGACAATACAGGTTGTACTGTGTTTGACATCTCTTAAAAGAGACTAAGAGACTGATGTCAATGGGACAAAAGTTGGACTTCTTTTTTTCATCTAAAAAGCATAAAAAGGTGGGATTGGGACAAAAAGTACAATTTTTTATCCCATCTTAAAGAGGTGGGACTACGACTGGAATTGATGTCAATGAGACAAAAATTACAATATTTTAGTTTTATGCATATAATGTTGTGACAATTATAACTTGTTGCAGATGATTCGTGCTTGATGGAAATGGGAATGACAAGGGCTTCTGTTATACATGCTTTGAAGTGGATTTTTGATGAACTTTGCAGTTGTAAATATAGTTTGTTGATTCAGAATTGTTCAACTGGCAAATGAGAACGTTTGGTGGTTATTATTTTTTTTTTTAAATATATTTTATAAAAAGGGAGTAAGATAGAATAAAACATTGGTTGCTGTTGTTGTTGGTTGTCAACATGAGATGTTTTGATTTTACATATTGTATTGTGATATTTTTTTGGTATGCTTAAATTTTTTTATTTTTGTTTTCGAAGTTAGGAGCTCAGGAAAAAGTCAGTATTAGCCCTTTGCTTGAACTAAATATGATCATATCTTACATTCATGTCTTTACCTATAAATCAAATAAATTACAAAAATACAACAAATATGTGTCATCTATTATTATATTGGCGTTGAATCTGATTATATTTTGCAGATTGTTAATTGTTAAGTTTCACTTATTATATTGGCTGAAAGTGTATTGCTATTATAGAGAAAAGTATTTTTAGTTTTAGCTAAAAGTCAAAGTATGTTGTCTTAATGAATAAAAGTCATATTTTTTACTTAGGCTCTTAAAGAAAAAGATAAGAAAGGAATTGATGTTGTTGGAAGGGCATTATCTTTTTGGAAGTAATTATATAAGGAGAAAGGGAATCTAGAGCTAATACAAAAATATTTTTCAAGGAAGTTGACACTTTAGTACAACTAACTTTCGGCCTTGTCCTTTTTTTTTTTTTTTTTTTTTGTGGAATTAGTTCCTCAGCTTTCAAATTACCTATTAATTACGTTTTTATCCACAATTTTAAAGGTTCAGCCAGTTCCAATGCTTCATTGGCAAGGCTGACCTGAAAACATCATCTCTCATGTAAGACACAACGTCAAGGGTTATTAATTGAAACCCTTAATCGGCACACTTCCTTCACCTTTATTCCCATATTCGAAACCCCAAAAACCCTAAGGGCTATGAAAACGCTTCAAGCACAATGTCGTCGTCTTCTTCCTTCAACTCAGCCGTTCCTCACTTTGATAACGAGGACAAAGTCAATAAATCTTAAGGTGACTTGAAATCACTGCAAAGGACATCGTGGACGGCAAAAAAATCCCGTGCACACTGCTTTTTGAATTGTCCCAACTCATTGGTAATCTCCGATCTGAGCAATATTTGTTTATTTCTTTACAATGTGATAAAAGGTAGCTTCGATTTTGGTAAATGTCATGTATTATTTTAATTTACAATGTTTAGGTTAGCTGAAATTTTGTTCAATGATGTTTGGTGACTTGCGATGTTTGATCTGTGATGTTTTGAGCTAAAATTTATTAAAATTCTTTGATGTTTGAATTTTCAAGCTCGGTTTTAGATGTTTGATTACTATTTTGCTTTTTGACTTGGATAGATGATTGAAAGGAGGAGTTGTAGATTCTTCCATTGGATAGATGATTGGCTGCAACCAGGATACTACACAAAGAAGTTGTATGGCATGAAGCATGAATTAGAGTCGTTGTAAGTTTACTTGTGAAGGCCAAGAATGACAAAAGAGTTGTTCAACTGGAAAGGTTGGTGGCTAAACATGAAGCTACGATTGCAAGGTTGAAGAGATGCTTGATGTGGACTTGATTTCCTTATATCTACTTGTTTGGAGGGTTGGTTTGGTGTGTCATGAAGTTATGGAAATGATGACATAATTTTTAAAGCTTTTTTATGGTTGATGTACAAATTCCAACGAAGATGCATGTCTTTTGTACGGTTGATGTATAATTCCAAGCAATATGAATGTCTTTTGTTAGATTATGGTAGTGGGTTCAATTGTGGATGATTGGGTGGTCTTTTGGTCCTAGAAATCAGTTTGTAAGATACTCCTCTATATAAGTTAACGGAAATTGTACTTGGAAAGTTGTATTGACCTTATTATAATGACTAGTGTTCTATTATTTAAACTTATTTTGTTTGTGAAAGCGTGTATCAGTAAATGAAATATGCAGGAGTGGACCACTATGTTCCCGTTGAATGTGCAGAAAATGAGTAATTATTAAACAGTTAGGACCACATTGTTTAGGTGTATCTACACCATGCACAAATATTGTTAATGTACCATATTGGCCATTTGTGTGCATGCATGCAATAAATTATGGAACCAAGTGTCTAACATGATAAATTTATTGGAAGTAAATTAAAACAACTTTCATAAAAATAAAAATAAAACATTCTAAATTAGGCAACATTGTTTTCTACATGATAAAGACCATTATCCTACAATAAAAAATCTTTCATACAAACATTCCAATTTAGACAACCAAGTTTTTTAAATGACATACAAACAAGTTTCATAAAAGACAATCAACTATGACCATATTACCAAACACTAATTTACTCTATATTAATAGCTTTTTCCTTTGAATTCCATGGATCACCATCATTACTAACTCTTTTATCCAGCTTCAACTTCAAGATTCTATTTGACTTTCTTTTTCTCATCCTTTTCAACAAGTTAGAAATGTGTGGTACTATTAGGACATCTGGAACTTACACTTCATCTACTGCCTCTTGAACCTCCACCTCCTCCACTGCCTCTTGAGCCTCCACCTCCTTTAATGCCTCTTGAACCTCCGTTTGCTCTAATGTCTCTTCAAGTAACACCTCATCAAACAAGTCATGTAAATCCACATTAGCCCGAACTTGTATTGCTTGTGTTTAACTTTCTTCCACCTCAAATGGTGTGACTTATATCTCTTCCTGTATAGAATGGAAAAAACTAAACAATCAAAGTATGTAATAAATGAGAAACAACTAAGCAACTACAGTGTTTTTAGTGCATTACATCCATTTGTCGGTTGGCATTAACATTTTGTTTCCTTTTCTTCTTAACATTTAGCTTCTAGGGTCTTCCAATTGAACAACTTGCTTTATTGTGACCTGGTTGCTTGCAAATACCGCACTTGATCCCCCTTTCGCTTTTAGAAACCTTCTTGGTGTCATTATTATCAGTTGACTTCTTACTCTTCTTTGTTTGTGTTCTTCCATTATTATCGGTGGCATCCCTCTTCCTTTTAACTTCCAAGCATCCTTCTACTCATGGGAGGTAATGGTGGTGTGTATTCATTTTTTGGTCACATGTTAGACCCATTCATGCCTGCAATTATATACTTATAGGATTTCATGTAGGTAGTGTTATTGAACATTTTGTCCACATAATCCTCCACATTCCTATTGAGACACACCACACTAGCTAAATAATGGACATAACCATATCCATTGAGTTGTCATAACCTACATGAGAAAGTTCTCTTCTCTAGATCAACCTCATATGCATCTCCAATTCTCCTCCCCTCAAACTAATTCAAGCCAATTGGTAGTACAATGTAATTTCTTTAATAGTTTATTGAGTACCTCTCTTATTTTTAGGCATACTTGACTTCCCTATGCTTGTCCCTTCAACTTGAACTTGTATAATCTTTCCATCATATACAATCTTAATTCCTCTAACATTGTGATAAAAGGCTTTTTTCTAGCATCCACTATGAGGGCATTAAAGCTTTCATACATACCATTCTCTACAGCAACACAACATCTTCCAGTTTGGTAAATTGCCAATGACCAAGTCTTTGGGTCTTTGTCCAACAGGTACTTATAAGCATCTGGATTTATCATCTCAAGCTCTCTCATTGCAGTTTTGAATGATTGTTTAGTTGTTGATCTTGCAGCTCTCTAAAATAAGGTACTATAGTAGGCACCACTATACATTTTTTGCAAATTTTGATTTATGTGTCTAGCATATTGTTTGTGCTTTATAACAACAAACCTTAATAAGATTAGATATGAACAAACAAATCATAGATAATCAATACATATTATAATAAAAAATTAGTAAATACCTCGTGCCCATCTGACATTAAGCTGTATCCATTTCCTAAATGCAATTGCAAATCATCAATCAGATTATCCAAAAACCACTTCCAATTCTCTTTGTTCTCAACACATATTACTACCCAATGCAATGGGATAAATCTGATTGTTTGCATCTCTGACAATAACACATAGTAATTCTCCTTTACAAATGCCTTTCAGAAAACATCTGTAAAGTCTTGTTATCCTCGTGCATCCCTCTATCCATCCTTTTTTCACTCCGTCAAAGCAAACATAAAAATTACTAAAGTACTTCTCCCTATATGGCATGTTGTTGACATCCATTTTGACAATAGAACTTGTATTTTATCTCCTAATCTCTTCTCCATATGGCCATAACTTTGCATAATGTTCCATAACAGTTCCATCTATTAGTTGCAAAGCATATTTCTTAGCCCTCCTGCATTGACCAAGACTGACATAAATACTAAACTTCCTAATAACTTCTAATCTTAATTTTTTGACACTCATCTTTTGTCTGCGTAAGATTTGTTTGGTATAATGACTAACTATCCATGAATATGAAACCAATGAACCTAACTTGAAGTCCCTAGCACAATTATGTTCTAAGTTCAAAGATTTAATTTGGAAGTTGTCTTCATCACTCATCCATGATGCCCATAATCTGAAGGTACACTTACCATTGCAACAATGTGCCAACAACCTTTTCCTATCATTTTTAACAAAGCATAATTGGTACCTATTGGGTACGACATAGTTACACAACATAGCTTTTAATTAAGCTGGATCTTTAAATCTCATACCAAGTATGAGATTTTGTTTCTTCTAGTGTGTTGACTCATTAAAAATGGCATGAACTTGACTTCTGGGTTAACTTTCATCCTCATTTTCTACATCATAGTTGGTATCCTCCCGCTCCACCTCTTATTGAGCACACAATTTAGTCAAGAATTCATCGTTACATGTCTTATTCATAGTAACTATTTCACCAATAAAATCCATTGTCACATCCCTAAGCGTACCTATGTCATCATCCCCACCACTAATGCAAGAGTCATGGTCATCATCTCCTCCTTCTAACTCAAACATATCATCTATTCCATCACCAATATGGTCAACATAAAGGGATATTTGATCATCAATTCCATATGCATCAAAATATGAAACCTGCATAATCCATTTCATTCGAGATATGCATAAGGCCACTCAAAAGGGAAGCACGTGGCTCATAGTAGTATAGATTTTTACAATCTAATTGCATGAAACCTTCGAGAAAAGTAATACATTATGAGTGTCATACCAGAAAAATCATGATATGTGAATGTGAATTTCATACCGTTAGTGTAAGATAAAGGACAACGAATAAACACCCCCTTAAAATTAAGTTCCACTATCGAAAATATTGCATTGGGGTTCGAGGTTGACATAACTTCTTCTTCCTCCTACTTCACTTTGTTCTGTGGAGGACTTGTAAACCCTAGCTCTGGTTGAAGGTTTTGGAGTATTGCTAATGAAAACGACGACTAACAATGAACTTAAGTCCCTCTCATTTACACTCGACTCGTCTCATTTAACTTGATAAATACGTGGAATTGCCATCCTGCCCGTGATTTTCTTTTTATTCGTTGTTATAATTAACACGTATGCAAAATAACCGGTTCATCCAATTTCCTTGCTCAAAATGACATAATTAACAGATAATTTGAAAGTTGAGGGACTAATTACGCAAAAAAAACCTTGAGTGACCAATCCAGGATAAAGCCAAAAGTTAATTGTGCTACAATATCAATTTCCCATATAAATTTATATGTGAGATCGGACAAAACAGAATAAAATAAATGTAGATAAAGAGACATAAATTGTTAGATAGTCAAACAAGACTATTAAAATTTTAGTTAAGATAATGTTAGATTTTTAAGATAATTGTTTTGTCTAATAATATATATTCCACCAATCACAAAATGACATTTGGTATAAAAACTAAAAAAATATGATAAGTGTGGAACTACACCCATTGTATCATTACGATAAAATGGCTCATAGAACACTCCACCACCTAACACGGCTTTAGCAAATTTGAGAGAAAATCGACTTACTTTGAGTAAATACACCAATTAAGGGTTACATAACTCACTTCGTAAATAAAAAATAAAAAATATATAAAAAATGTAAAAATATAAAATAAAAACTCTTTAATGAAACGTACTAAGCTTTAATGGTAAAGTGTATTTAACAAACTAAAGATCAAGGTTACTCTAAGAAAGATGGCATGGTCACATGCACTAACGAGTCTAGAACATAAACATACGTAGTTCACTATTTAAATAAAACTGATATATAAAAATAAAATGGTGAAAAAATACTGGTAGCAAGTCGGATTGTATAAAGAAAAAACGATTTAAATCATTAACAATTGAATCCAAAGATGTCTAATATCTTGAAATATTTTGACAATTGGATCATTAGTAACACTATCTAAAACAAAAAATTTAATATAGGATATAAACTATGACTTAAAAATTATATTTGTTTATTTTTTTAATGGGTAATTAAGTATTTGGACTATTGAGATATACAATACAGTTATGATTTATATTAACTCTTTGTCAAGCATAATAAGATAGGTTAGGAAGTTCATAAATAAATTTTATACATTACTTGTATAAAGAAAAAAAATTAGGTGTGTCAAATGACCCATCTTCACAATAGATATACTCGTCACCCACGTGTCACATGTCTTTAGAGCTAATATGGTATGGTTTTTTTTGAAAGATGGGATTCTTTTACGAAAAGTAATATGTTTAGTACAAAAAAAATTATTTTTGTAAAGAACTAGATTATATCTACAAATAAATTTTAAATACCATTGGTATGTTTTCCGCTTATAGGTTTTAAACTATCCCAAAATGACTATGATGTTAATATGTAAAGTCTTGAACTCTCCCATTATTTTAACCTTAATTGGGGGTATAGATCTAATCTTTCTTCTGTTGAAAGGACTTTCCCCTCAACTTACTAGTCTTATGGTTTTTGTCTTAACAGTAAAATGTTAACACTTTAACAAGTTAGATCCAAATTTAGTTAAGTAAATTAAGTCAAATGTCATATCTTAATTCTTAACCCCCAATATTAGAAAAACAATTCCCAATCCTAATAGATTTTGAATTTAGCTCTTACCTAACAATTAAACAAAATTTCTAATTTATTTATTTGAATTCACTAAATTTGAAATGTTAATAAATTATTCTTATTTAATTTTCATATAAAAATTAATTTATTCTATAAGAAATCACATTTAATTTGTTTTGAGAGAGGGAGAGAGAGAGAGAGAAAAAGGAACATCACCGAATAAATTAAAATAAGAAATATATTATAGGTAGCTTGTTATCATTAGAATGAATAGTCATAAACTCATAATATACAACACATTGTAGTGTTGGACAACAAAATCCTCCATTACAATCTTTTGATCTTTCATGGTGTAGCTCCAGACCAGTGAATTAAAATCGAGCAATTATAATAACAAACGTATTTCAAATTTATGATTCAGGAGCAGGAGCAGGAGCAGATTCTTCTCCATTGACCTCAAGTTGGCTATAGTTTCCTTTAGACTTGAAGAGTTGAATATGGTGATGCTTGCAATACAACCTGCCCTCATGAGCAATGTAATTTGAAGGGCTTATGGTGCACCCGCCATGGCAGCACTTGAAACAGCTTCTATGGTATGCAGATCCATTAACAGTAACCTACATTCAAATAGTTTACAAACGATAATGCTAACTAAATTTACTCATTTTTTGCACTTTTTGTAAAGAATTTTAAAGGAAAAAAAAAAAAACGATATGAAATGGTAATATTTTTACCCTTTCAGTTGGATAAACGGTCTTGGAACACCCAACACATTTCTCTCTGGTACCCCCGAATAAATTTGAGACCTTGGCTGCATTCTGTTAGATAAAAAATCGTTGCATCAATAGCACATTGTCACAAGATAATTTTTATTTTTTTTGTCGTGATAAAAAATCGTTGCATCAATAGCACATTGTCACAAGATAATTTGTCCAAAATACCTCAGCGTTAACTGGTTTTTCGATCTTGAACTTTGGTGTTCCTGAAATATATCAAGCACAAAATATTTTTTGAGGAATTTGTAATTTAAAATATTGAAATGTATTCAGAAAATAATATTTATTTATTAAATTAACCGTCAAAGCTCTTTTCCAAGCTGCCAGTTCTCTTGAAGAGTTGATCGAAGTGAGGCTTGCAATACACCACTCCGTCGAAAGAATTGAAGTTGCTAAGCTGCAAATATTTCCGATCAAATTATATTAGTTTTATGTTATATAAGTTAACTTTTTATTAATTTTATCTGTCCGTTATTTTACGTGTTTTATTTATGATATTACGAAATGAAAAGGATTTTTATTTGGGTCATGTTGATTTTAGAAATTAAATGAAAATTGAATGAAAAAATGGAATATAAAAATGAAACATAATATTGTTTATAAAAAATGAAAAAGAATCTAACCTTGAGGGTACGGTTGCAATGATGGCATCGGAAACAGGCTTTGTGATAAATACGTTGATTGGCTGCTAGCTTATCAACCAAATATACAGTTTTATCACAAACTGCACATTTTTGTGTTGTTGCTACAAACCCTCCGGCCATTTTTTTTTTTTGTGAACAGAGTTCTTTTTCTCTTGTTGTAATTACAATAAACAACTTGAGAAAAAGAACTCGATCAAACTCGTTTATTTTCTACATTTTAATCTTATTTTTCATATCCCTTAAATAGGGAGATAAACATTATTGAATAGTGGGTTTGGAGCAAATTAAGGAAAAGCTATGATCCGATCAGCATGCATTCCCATTGTAAGTCTTTTCCCTTTTCATTACTCCATCCCTTATTTTTCTCTAGAAGGATTAATAAAATGGCCACAAGAAAAGTAAAATTTTCAGCCGTCCAGGTCATTTCGTTTGATAATGTAGCCCAACATTATACATATGCTGAATAAAATTAGTGATAAACATTGAACTAAACTGAGATAAAAACACAATTTGATAATGAGTTTGATTAAACTTCTACAAACAAATGGTAGAAATACACCCTAAATACATTTACAAATTACACACACATACACTTGTAGTAACTGTAAAGATGAAAGCCTATCCATGCATGCCGGCATGCTCATTAGAACAGATTTTCATTCTCCCAGACCATAATTACTTTTGATATCTATTTAGCCAAATGATTTGATAAAATAATTGTCCATGCACAAATATAATCCAACAAGGGCATTTGGTCTAGTGGTATGATTCTCGCTTCGGGTGCGAGAGGTCCCGAGTTCGATTCTCGGAATGCCCCTTGAGTATATATTTTTCTCGGATTTTTTTTAACAATGATATATATATATGGAGATAGAAGTATAAACAATCGGGCATTTGGTCTAGTGGTATGATTCTCGCTTCGGGTGCGAGAGGTCCCGAGTTCGATTCCCGGAATGCCCCCCACTTTTTTGCTGTTTTCTTCTTCATAACCGCATATATTTTGATTAAACAGAGATTCGAATGTCACAAACTGAAATTTGGAATAATATGATTAATTAATATCTTTGGACTTTCGAGCTGATTTTGTCGTCAATGTCTGGTATAAAATAAAATTTAGAATTCAATACATAATTAGATATTGATCTCAAACTGTTGGTAGAGTTGTTATTAACTACATTACAAGAAAACACATCAAGGGCATTTGGTCTAGTGGTATGATTCTCGCTTTGGGTGCGAGAGGTCCCGAGTTCGATTCTCGGAATGCCCCTCTTTGTTTTTCATTTTTTGGTGAAGACACACAAAAGATATAGAACTGTGCAAAGAGTTACTATTTTGGGGTGTATTCTTCTATGCATATTCTTATATGGTCCCAAAAGTATTACTCTGAGAGTTTGAGACTCTGAGAGAGTTGTGACCACTGACCACATTTCCATATCCAACAAACACAAGGGTTTTGAGTCAAAAGTTGGCTCTGATTCTCTCCATTTGTGACTTGGTTATCTGTTTTTGTTTCTAAATGTAGAGCTGGTGATGTTAATGGTGATAAAGTTTTTGTTTGGTAAGGATATATGTAGTACTGCTGCTCAGTGACTGATTCCACCTACAAGTATACAACTGAAAAACTTTCTTATATTCGTTGTATTTGCAAGATTTTATAAGAGGTTCTTATAATATACCTTTCCATTGATTTAACATCTTATGGTTACTGATGATTTTAGTGTGAACAGAATAAATAGAAACATCAAATGGGCATTTGGTCTAGTGGTATGATTCTTGCTTAGGGTGCGAGAGGCCCCGAGTTCAATTCTCGGAATGCCCCCTATATTTTTAAAGCCATATTTTTTTCTCATGGTGCTGTCGTTTTTATGGAAACCAGTACACACACTCATTCATATTTAATGCTTGTTAAAGTCCACTCTCACATAAAAATCCAAGTGGGTTTTTCTCATGGTGCTGTCGTTTTTATGGAAACCAGTACACACACTCATTCATATTTAGTGCTTGTTAAAGTCCACTCTCACATAAAAATCCAAGTGGGTTCACAGAATTCGGAAAATAGCAATCAACAGAACTTTCAGATAAACATCTAATTATGGGAGTATTTCTAAACTTTGAACATAATCAACTAACTAGATATGACTGGTGTTACTAATCATCAACAAATGTTTATCTAGATACCTTCAATAGATAACCAATACTATCTCCAAAAGTTGTTAGATATATTCATCAAGTGCCAAATGGATTCATAAAGTTCACACTCTGCATATTGGCCTTTATCTTCATCATTAAAGACATTACATCCGTATCTAATACATATGCACCTAATACTCACGTTTTGACAACAATTTCTCAGGGTATGTTTTTTCTTTTTCATGCTAGTGCAAGTTTAAGTGGGCCAATAAATACAAGAAATCCTATAAACATATGAATTGTGAAGCTTCATATGATCGTCTCAACTCTCAAGCAAGATTACTTTGCTGGAAGCCTAGAAATCTGCTATATGGTGATGAGATGTTTTAGATGTGAAGAGAAATGTTCCTTTGAATAGTTGATGATATAGTCGGTTCGTATTTTAGATTATCTTGGAACCCTAGAGGCAAAATGCCTTTTAGTCAATAGAGTGCACATATGCAATACACAACTAGTGTAAGAGAATTCTTAACGCGTATGACGAGTAGTTGAAAGTCTACAAAATTATTGTACAAGTGTTATTCAATAGTATATGGACATTAACATTTGTATAAATTGACTGTCAATGACTTACAACTTCTGTATATTGTATATGAATTCAAACATGGATTTCCCGAAAGGCTAGACAACAGTGGTGGATGGAATGGAGTGGTTGTCAGGTGTCTACCCCCACCCCATACAAATATTTCGTGTGTGTGTGTATATCTCTCTCTCTCTCTCTCTCTCTATATATATATATATATATATATATATATATATATATATATATATATAGATCCGGTAAGAAATTTTTTTTGGTAGGAAGGTAAGAAGTTTTTTTTTCTACATATTTTTTTACGAACAAAATAATTGAATCACTAGATGATTCATTTCTAAGATGATTCACAAAAAAAAATTCTCAAAAAAACATCTTTATGATTCATTTTTAAGTAAATTAAGAAAAAATTCATTTTTATGATAATTTTAGTGAATAACAACAAAATCATTGTATAAATGAATCATAAAGATGTTTTTTTGAGAATTTTTTCTTGTGAATCATCTTAGAAATGAATCATCTAGTGATTCATTTATTTTGTTCGTCAAAAAAATATGTAGAAAAAAAAACTTCTTACCTTCCTACCAAAAATTTCCTTCTTATTTGATCTTGACTCTCTCTCTCTCTCTCTCTCTATATATATATATATATATATATATATATATATATATATATATAGATAGATAGATAGATATATATATAGATAGATAGATAGATAGATAGATAGATAGATAGAGAGAGAGAGAGAGAGAGTCAAGGACCACCATTTGTTTTTTTTAAAAGGCCATATATAATATAAAATGTATGTTGATTAGCCCCCTTTAATTCTTTTATGGTTATTAGCGTATTAAACTGGGAAAATGATTCTTGAAGGTAATTAATTTTTGCATTTGTACTCATTTGATCCCTTTCCTTTTTATTGTATTCAATATACCTTTGAATTTGTTGTTTATGTTCACCATAACCCTTTTGACCGACTTTTAACCTGTGATAGCCGGTCAAAGGGTTATGGTGAACATAAACAACAAGTTCGATGGTATATTGAGTACAAAAAAAGAAAAGAGACCAAATGAGAACAAACTCAGCAGTTGGTTACCCTCCTGAGTCATTTTCCTCGAAAAGTTAAATGAAATTAAAGTTGAAAAATTATCAAAGACTGCAACCTTCTTTGGCTATAACATATATGAAGAACGTTTCAGAGGAGTAACTTCGTTAAAACATGGTCTATGCTATGCTTACTGTGGTTAGCTGTCAACACCTCTCTTCAAAATGATATGATTGTGCATGAGAGGTATATTTATCAGCATAAACGTTTACCTCAAGGTATATTATGGTGATGTGTCTGCAAAAGCGGCATGATATTGTACATATTGATTTGTATCTCATCCCATGAATTCGATCTTAAAGCTAAGAAAACTAAAAAATCACAACACTTGTGATTCCGCTCATTTGTAGACTTGTCTAGAATCCATGATACGATAATTCATTCGATTGAAATGTAAATGTAGTCATGAAATGCACATGCTAAGTCAAGATTCCCCTAATAAATATTCAAATGCATTACAAAGTTGTACATGTATGAATAATGTTCTTTCGTGGGTTATGTTTTGAAGAGAAGTAAGAATGAATTTCATAAAGTCATTAATATCAGTAGGAGTTGACGTGAGATTTGTTGTAAATGAGTAAAGGGAAAATGACTCAGTAGGGTAATCAACTGTTGAGTTTGTGCTCATTTGGTCCCGTTCCTTTTTTGTACTTAATATACCATCGAATTTGTTGTTTGTGTTCACCATAACCCTTTGACCGGCTATCACAGGTCAAAAGCCGACCAAAAAGGTTATGGTGAATACAAACAACAAGTTCGATGGTATATTGAATACAAAAAACAGGAAAGGAACCAAATAAGTAAAAACGCAAAAGTTAATTACCCTCAAGAGTCATTTTCCCTATTAAACCAGAACCACCTTGTCAAAGGCCCAAGTAATATGCCACTTTAATATAATTTGCATAATGGGATACACTACTATTTGAATTCAATATTTATTATTAAACCTAACACAAAGACACATGGCATATCCCTTCTCGCCTAGCTATGTAAACTGTTATTTGTACTATGTTTTCCTTGCCGCGGTTTAGCTCCTTGCTAATTGTGGTGTTTGGATTCTTTTTATGATATTTGTTGTTTCAAAAAAAATGACGAGTTTGACTTTAAAGATCAATTCATTGCTTTTGCTACTGATTTTGCTACGCTAATTAATCATGTAACTTTTTATTTTTATTACATTTAGTTTTTCTAGTAATTAATAACTGATAATATTATCAATTCGTAATAACTACAATATTTATGGTTTTATAATTTGGTTTATTATAATTATAAATTTATAAGGTAAATTATGAGCAAGAAAATAACATTCGGTTAGTGATAATACTAAAAATGATGTTTATAATATACATCCACAACCTAATAAGAATATTAACAT